GAAAAGGGGATGAGACAAGATTCAGAGAGCAGAATGATGTCAGGAATAACATGCTTCATGCTTTGGGAAAGAAAATGAAGACTCCTTAAATGGCAGAAATGTGCTCTTAAAAATAACTCAATAGACTGGAGTCGTGGATGAATGCTTTAAAGAGACAGTTCACCCAAAAATGAATATTCTTTCATCATTTTCATCACCCTTCAAACCTGTATAACGTTCTTCTGGGGACAAATGTTACTTTTTATAATGAAAGGGACCAAAAACTGAGGCTGTCAAGCTACAAAAAAGCATAAAAGTGTCATAAAAGTAGATCTTGATATGACTTGTACACCATATTTCAGGAACAGGTCGCAGGAGTTAACAGCACTGAAGGGGATGATTATGTAAATAAATTACTTAAATGTCATTCTGTTTGTCACAAAAAACTATCTTTAGAATAATGCACAAGTCAAATGGACCACTTTTGTTTATTTTATGATATTGTATGCTTTTGCAGGCTTTGTGAAGCTTAAATGCTTCAGTTCATTATAGTTGTATGGAAAAGAGTGACCAGTACAATTCTTCAAAAGTTCTCCTGTTATGTTCCACAGAAAGGGACATATATGCATGATATACATAATAGTTTAGGGATGAAACGATTACCGGTATGATGATAAATCATGATAAAATTCCCCACGGTTAGTATTACTGTTTCATATTTTAATTATCAATAAAACTGTATTCTATTACCGCGATTGGAAGTCCAGTCCAGCATAAATCACAGTTTTAAGTAACAGTCTCAGGTAAGCACAGCACGCAGAGTAGTTTTGTTTTGAGTGAAAACAGGGCGGAAAAGCTGGGAGATTTTAAAAGAGTGCTACGGGAATTATACAAATGAATATATGAATGAATTAATTATATGAATGTACCTCTTAAGGTTCTGACTGTCTTCAGAAAAGATTCGACGGCATTTTGTTTTCATCCTCGCTCCATGTAATATCTAATAAAGAAGTGTTCTTAATCGCAATGCTGCTTTGTCCACAGAGGTTACAGGACACGGCTCTAATTCTGCTGTTCCATAATCACCACGTAATGTCAGAGAGTGCATTTACAGAGACTTATATTTACATTCAGCCTGTGCAGTGTCTGGCCAAAAAAAAGGACAGAATTTGCATGCCCTGCTGTAAATTTTGACCAGTTGATGAAAAACAAGCTGATGTGGATTCTACACATTTAAACAATTGGGATAAGGTATCTATTGGGATAAGGTATCATTTTGACTTAACCCTTTTCTTTATTTAAAGGCTGAAATGTGAGGTTTACCATTTATGAAACATTTCGAACATGCTATTAGATAAACTGTTGTCAGTCCTATTGTCATTTAAAATCCAGACATCATTGGTAATGTTATTGTTTTAATGTTTATGCAAACAAAAAGTAATTTTATTTGTTGTTTGTTGATTTTAAATATAAAACTTGGAGAAACGATTTATGTGTCAGTACTTTTTGAAAATTTCCAACACATTTGAACAACACCGTGATAATACTGATAACTGTGATCATTTTGGTCACTATAATCATAAGAAATGCACCATTTCATCTCTAATATCAATATTACTTAACAAAAAAGCTTCCTATCAACCCTAAAATTGCTCTCTGTGGTGCTTTCTAAACATGTGTTGATGAAAACCTACTGAAATCTAGATAGAAAAAGGCACATTACACCTCTACCTGTATATGTTTCTTTTTACAATAATGTGCAGTAGCATCCTAAAATTAAGGAAACCTTCAGTCAGCACAGCCATTATAACAGGTTTAAAAGTGCCAATGAGGTCATAAATCTGAGGTAATTGTGGTAAACGCTGGAGCACAAGCATAATTCAAATCATAGTGAAGGAGCTAATAAGAGGATCTCAAATAAATCTAGACAAAAATGGAAGCGTTTCATTTGCTGCCTCCGCTATGATTTCTGTAGTACTGGAACAAACTGCCCAGCCAATCAGCACAGTCTTACATCCACATAAATAACTAATATGTGTTCCTTACTAATGACTAACAGCCCCATGGGAGGAGGTGAACAGGAGGAAGAGGATGCAGAGAGAGAGAGAGAGCGTGAAGGAGAGAGTCAGTCACTGAATACCATTTGCCTGTAATACCAAACAAATGAATTCTCCAACTGAGAATGAACAAATCCTTCTCGGTTTAGAGAAGGTTTAAAAGTAGGAATAAATACAGGTATGCCTATACTCATTTTAAATTAACACATGAAATGGGTTGAAAGCATACAGTGTAGAAATCCACCAAATAATAAGTACTGATAACAGCCCATTAAGCATTAGCATTCACTTCTGGTGTTGTGTTCTTTTTTCTTCTCCACTGTAAAAATGCTTTTTCCAAGTTGTAATAACTTCAATAACAAATATTACATTACAAGAAAATTATATTTTAGTCTTTCTTCATAATTATTTCACATTTTATTCAATGTGTTACTTGTCGTTTCTTTATGTAATTATTTGTGAAATTTACTAGGCAGTTTCAGAGTTAAAATTGTTTCAAAGTAAATCCTATTTAAAAAAAAGAATAGGACCAATTTGTAAGGGATGACTTTGTTGAATAGGGTGGACTACATGTTGGAGCCAAAAACATCAGTGATAAACCACCAGTTTTACTACTTTAAATGTGTTTCTTAAAAAAAAAGTGAAAAGCCTCACAGGGACTTCTGGGAATGATTTTGAGTTATGAAACTAATGAATCAGTGAATTGTCTTTTGTAAACTATCACAAACTGTTCAAAATTGCTGGACTGTCAGACAAAGATCAGCAAATCAGACAAAAATTATATTTCAGAGTCAATCAATTCTGGCATTTCATCTTATGGCATATCTATCCATCTATGCCAAAAGGTAGATGTATACAGTGAGCTGTGATATTCTTGCTGGGAAAAAAAACTTTCTTTTCAGTGCAACCCTGTAGAAATGCTTAGAAACGGCATTAGATGTGAATTATAGTGCCAAATCTGAACTTTGAACATCACACTGAATGCTTGTGAGAAACACTAAACCTGTGTTCCCCCAATCAGCCTGGTTTATTTTAGTTTTATTTGGCCTTTTTCTGAACACGATGATTCAACATTGTGAAAGGAGAGTGATGGATTGTTCTAGTCAATAATTTCAGACAAGCAAGGAAGAACGAGGCAGAAGATCTGAGAGCTCTCGAGACACTTGAGCACAGAATACAGGGGTTGTGCAGCTGCCGGCGATGAGCGAGCAAACATAATTATATGAGTTGGGTAGCGGGTTGAGCTCAATGAAGCAGAGAGAGGAAGAAACACGCTGAGTCTGATGCTCTGTAGCTGCTGCTTTTGTTGACGTCTGGATCACCCAAGGATGCAGAAAAAAACATCTGCAGAATAGTTAACCTTTCACCCACCACCAACAAACTCCATGTGTTTGCTTATTTAGAAATGGAAAACAAGGAAGCATAAAGCTTGAGGAAAATAAGCAAACAAAATAACAATGAGAGAAGTGGGTATTTCAATTGAATTCCAGAGAACCCAAAAGTGTTTCAGCCAAACATTAACACGGTTTGGGCTTTTGCCAAGCACATAACACACAGAGCATCGTCCTTCACACAAAACTGTAGGTCTCTATTCTTTCTGAAGGGGTTTACAATGTGCTATTCAAACTGATCCATACACCCAAAATAAAGCACAAACCAAACAAAAATAGAAGAAATGCATTCTGACATAAAATCCAAGTATTTCAAGATTACGTCTAAATATATTTTTAAATATAAAAAGGAGAATTCAATATTCATTTTTTTCTATTTTTATTAGGTCACAATTTCATCAAAAACCATTTTTGCCCTTTTTTTTTTTGGCTTGTTTAATATAAAATGTCTCTAATAGGTCCCCCATAGTAAATAAATAGGCAACTGAGGTAACCTTATGATATAATATAATGCACCTAAAAAACAGTGTATTAGGTTTCAGTATATTATATTATATATATTGAAATTGCTGGAATCCAAGTCAAGATTCAAGGTAGGTCTAAAATTTTCAAATCAACTTAAATGCGAGTCTCTGACTTCAGTTGTCATCTCTGCCACACACTCTTTTGTTGACAAGGCTTGGTAATTTATATCAGCACTCAATCTAAGCCTCTCCTCATACCACAAATATAGCACAAAAGGCCCAAATAGGGCTGCACGATTAATCGAATGCAATTGTCATGCGCATTTTGTTAGTAAAATTGGTTCTGTAATCAGCAGAAAATCATCATCACGTGCTTTCAGATGGAGCAGCATTTACTACACAGAGCCGTAGTTCATTGACAAGTTACGCAAAAAAAAATCGCAGACGATTTTATTGCGCGATTATAAATTCGAAGAAATTGTTCGCGATAATAACAGCTGTTTACATAGCTTCTCAGTGAACTACGGCTCTGTGAAGTAAATGCTGCTCTATCTGAAAGCATGTGAAAATACCACATTTAATAACATATTTTTACTCCAAACTCACTTCATAACGTCAGTCGAGTGTTTGAAATAAATCCTTCTGTGAGATGATGTGGCTTCTTACACAGAATAAGGCACGCAACATATTTCATAGTATTTAAGCAGTGATAAAGGCATTGCATTATAAATATACTTTATTTTAATTAAAATTATAATAATAATAACTCAGATAAATCATATATTGTCATAATCGTGTGTTTATTAGTCACGCTGAATCAATGAAAGCAGTTGAATCTTCTGTTTATTCAGCTGCAGCGATAGGCATTTCCTGGGTTTCTTCTGCGAGGCGTATTTGGAGTTTCAGCGCGAGAGCGCCCTCTGGCCTTTGGATGGAGATTTACTGCTGATCACAGAACCGTGCTTCACTGAAAGATACGCATGACAATCGCAGCTTCTGTCGAATCGCGATTTCAATTCCATTTCGATTTATCGTGCAGCCCTAGGCCCAAACATCCAATAACCTGGATCCACCATGATGAGGTTTAACTAAAAGAATGAGACACTTACTGTTTCCGTAGAGTCGAGGTGTTGTTAGTCCCAGAGCTGTCATTTCGCTCCAGTCGGCCTCTCTCTTTCTCCACAGGGGCTGACCCACATGACAGGCCCCGGGTCAGTCTTGTTTGGGTCCGTCGAGCTGGACCAGGAACCGTGGATGAGGGTATATTACTGCTGCTGTTCTGATGGACACCTCCAGCACTGTGGTTTGGTAGTGATGACGGCTGGCTTGGCTTAGAGCTCTGGTTGTAGTTGTGGTTCTGCGTCGAGTTCTCGGTCCCCGGGTTCCGGTCCTGCCGCAGGTCCTGGTTCTCCTGGTTGACCCGGTCAAGCTGCGTTTCCAGCTCCTCGATGCGTTTACGCTGTGTCTCTAGAAGTTTGGCCTGGTTCTCAATGATGTTATTGAGCTCCAGAAGATACTCCACAGCCCGACTCGGGCTGTCTGGGTTGGACTCCATGGTTTGGGCCTTACCCCTCCCCCCCCCCCACCTGATAAGTTCAGTGGGGGGGAGATAAAACAAAAGAGCCTGAAGGTAGAAACTTGATAGAAATGTCTTTTATCCTATATATTGCAACTTGAGTCTCAACAACTGAAAAACACCAGCAAAGAACATGTTGAGCACCAATATTATCGACAGCGTCTTAATGTTCATCAATGAATACTTCAATTGTAAAAAAGTACGGGCGGTAACCACAGCTCTCAGCAAATGAGTTTAAAGGTCAATAATTTGCATCCTCTCAGCTGCAGTGATTGTACTTCAAAAAGTAAGTGAAAAAATGATGTTGTGTAAAGAAAAAAAAGACATGGACAGTTCTGAGCATCTGCTTATAGCTTTTCCAGACAAAAAGATCCATATGACGACAATAAATGCCTATATTACAGTCAGAAGAAATAACATCTATAGATAATTTCTACTGTTTCATTATACAATCCAGTCATCTTGAGACTTGCTGTGCTACACATAACTCCCACATGCTGAGGTAGCACAGTGGAAAATGGGGAACAGCAGCAAAAAGATATAAATCTAATCCCTGAAATCCAAGATCGGTATAACTTGAGATAGACAACATACTGTAAAAATAAAGTGAAGAAAAGGCTTTCTTCATTAACAGAAAAGTGAAATTCCATAAAACTGAACCATAAATGTAATTTCCAACATCTCAACACAGTAAACTGCCTTCATTCAGCCAGCAAAAGAGGAATTTGTGATTACAGTAAGTCTATATGACACACTTGCTCAATATAGTGTCAGTAATATATATATATATATATTCAAAATGAAATGTATACATGGCTCCACACGTTAAAAAATCCTACTTACACCTCTCTTTATCGGCGTTTCTTTTCTTCA